CACACACACACACACACACACACACACACACACAAAGAATGTAAACTAATTTAAAAAAAATGAAGGAAATAAAATTGTTTTTGAATTATTTGAACAGAACTCGTGAGCACCATATAGTCATCATGAACTGTGGCAAAAAAAAAAATGCTATTTTATTTATTGTACCATTTTAAGTTCTATTTTACCATCAGAGACAACCTGCTATTGTTTAGATTTAGAATGGCCCCTGACACCTGCGTTTGGAAGGTGCCTGGATCACGGCTCCCAGCTGGCTTGCTCTTAGGAGGTGTAGTCAGAATGGTTCATCGCCCACCTGGCTCCTGTCTTCTGCACTTCCTGTCACCCTGAAACAGTGAGCCAACAGAAACCTTTCCTTCTCAGGAGCACTTTACCTCATGTTTTGTCACAGCAATGGGAAGGTGGCTCAGGCAACATTAAAACTTCTCTTACCAAGCTCACCAGGAACTCCCATGTTGCCAAGTCCAGGGGACTTTGACATTTGATTTGATACCTGTTCTTGTGGGTCCTACACTCCGTGCTGGCCTGGCTGCCTCCTCTTCTGATTCCTCCTTCCACTTAGAAGTAGTCCGGGCTTCACGCCCTCTCATCTCTGCTCGTTTACCTGCCCCTTCTGCAGGTGCTTGCGTCCAGCTCCCGGACTACGTACGCGCTCGGCTGTGCATTCACCCCTGGGCCCCACATTTGGCCACGGGCTGTTTAGCTCTGCGCAGGGGGTTCTCTTGATCCGCTGAATCTTACCGGCCCCAAATCCGGCTCTGTTTTCTCCCTCCAAGCGTTCTCCACTCCCATAAGGCCGTTTCAGTAAATGTGCCACAGTCCGGTTGTTCGCGCCCACAATTTTAAGGTGCCCTGCGCCTCTTTCTTCTCCCCAGGTGCAGCGGCCTCGCTGACACGCTGAGCCCCCTCCAGGGATGCGGAGGCTCCTGCCGGGGTGGGGACGCCCGCGCCGGCACGGCTCCTCCTGGCCGCCTCCGCGGGTGTCCCGAGGGGCTGCGCCTCTCCCTTCTGCCGCCGCATCACCTTGCTGCGTTTCCGCCAACAGCTCTCACTGCCGGCTGGTGGCGGCCCTAAACCACAGAGGGCTCCTACACCGGCCCCCGGCCTTCCCGCCGCTCCTCCCGCTCGCGACCCGAGCTCGCGCCTCCGCCTTCCCGGCAGGCCCTCCGGGGTGTGCAGGCTGGGGGCTCGGGTCACGGATCGAGGGCCACAGGTCGGGGGTCGCCGATCAGGAAGCGGCCCGGGTTCGCAAAGGCCTAGGCGCGCCCCAGGCGTCCACGAGGGGAGGGTGTTTCCGGTTCGACCCAGGCCGCGGAGGAATAAAAACGCGCGGACCGCGGCCGGCCGTCCAGGGCCCGGCCTCCGCCTCTCCCCCGCCCGCTCTCCGCCCGCCCC